CGTCGGCTTCACGACCATTTGGGCCGGAACGAGCAAACCTCTGGCGGTTTTTGTTTGAATCGGCGAACACGTGTCTGTGAGTACGGCTAATTTTTTAAACTTCATTTAAGGGTTTCCATCCAAGTTTCGAACAGCCATGAACCCAGTCCAGCAGCACATGCGCCTATATGGTTGGCCGTATAGGCCTATGAATTGTGTATACATGGTTTGCCCACTACCTAGATCAGATAAAATCTACTTTTGCCTCCAGTCCGCCTCCCGTCCATCCAGTCCGCACCAAACTGACCCCAGTGTTCGCAGCATGAGAGCCAGCTCTCACCTAGATAACTGTCATCAGTTCCTCCTCTTCTGGCTTTTGTCTGTCGGTCTGGACAGTCCCTCCCGTCAGTGACCAGTCCAGGCTGGCCCTGAACGGCGTCGACCATTAGCCCACACTGTCTCAGGCGTCAGGGACCGCTGTCAGCCCACACTGTCCCAGGCGTCAGGGACCGCTGTAAGCCCACACTGTCTCAGGCGTCAGGGACCGCTGTCAGCCCACACTGTCCCAGGCGTCAGGGACCGCTGTCAGCCCACACTGTCCCAGGCGTCAGGGACCGCTGTCAGCCCACACTGTCCCAGGCGCCAGGGACCGCTGTCATCCCACACTGTCCCAGGCGTCAGGGACCACTGTCAGCCCACACTGTCCCAGACGTCAGGGACCGCTGTCAGCCCACACTGTCTCAGGCGTCAGGGACCGCTGTCAGCCCACACTGTCCCAGGCGCCAGGGACCGCTGTCATCCCACACTGTCCCAGGCGTCAGGGACCACTGTCAGCCCACACTGTCCCAGACGTCAGGGACCGCTGTCAGCCCACACTGTCTCAGGCGTCAGGGACCGCTGTCAGCCCACACTGTCCCAGGCGCCAGGGACCGCTGTCAGTCCGGCCGAAACTGACGCCAGAGTCCGCTGTCAGCCGAGACTGCTCGCGCGCCGCCAGACTGCGTCAGACTCGGCACCGTCAGACGTCAGGCCAGTGCGCCGATCCTGACTGGTGGCGGGGCCGCGGCTCTCATCAGCGAGCGTCGCAGCTCCCCGGGGCGAGCGGCGCGGCGCGGACGCCCACCCCCCGGTCCACTCTGTTTATACCATACAAACAAACTGATGGACCGGCCAGACCGCCCGACACGACCGAGCCGCTTTTTACCGGCGGCCTGGTGCACCGGCGGCCGTCGTGATGCGCCGTGCGGCGGTCCCGGCGCACGGCGGCGTGTCGTCGCGGCCCCAGGCGAGCGCGCGTTGTCGCCGCAGGGGACCGTGGTCGCGGCGGCTGCATGGCGTGACAACAGTCTATCATTGGGTCGACCAGGCCCCAGGGCCCCTCCCCCCCCCGCGCTTGGCGTGAGTCGGCGATCCTGCCCCGGCGCGACCTCACCATGGCTCTGGTCATGTGCCGGCGCGTGGGCGGCACGCAACATAGGCGCGTGGGGACACGCACGGCTGGCGTCGTCAATAAAAAGAAATTCGCTAGGACCATCGCCCTAACTGTTAGAGTTGTAGACAGAAGGTTGCAACACGTACAGGTAAGCGTCACCGTTCGTTTTTCACGCTTGCGCTGAAAATTCCCATAAGAAGAACAGTAACAGCCTAGCTGCATGCTTTACTAAGTTTCTTCAAAACGCTGGACTATGTTCGGCTCAGTGCTGAATGCCCGCATCGGCATGATCCGTGGGAATGGCGCAGCCGGCGGCACATCATAACACAGGCTCCGAAAGTCTGGCCGACGCTATCTGAACATAGCTGCCGAGTTAGCGTGGATTCTGCGAGGAAACAGGAACAAAAATAAAAAGAACAGGAAAACTTTGACACAGGCTGCGCGTGATGCGTGAGCGATGTCAGTCTGAGCGACAAACGAGCATGGCCATGGAAAGATCACATAGATGTGCTCTTCAGCTGTACCGTTATCGATCAATTGGATGCGTTGTCAGTAGTGATGAAGTCGAGTGAAAGGAAGGAATATAATGTCTGTACGTGTGGAAGGTAGTCTGGTGAGATATATCACCCGGTGAATTGCAGATTGATGCCCGGAACTGGATTAGCGTTTACAACACCACGAGCATTTGATGCCAAGATAAGATTTGTCTTGCTCGCGCTGTTGCAGATGCTGAGCCGTTCAGAGGATTAGCCTCAAAATTGCACAGGTGAACGATACACCCAATTCAAGCCTTTGAGCAAAGGGCTTTAGGAAACATTTTTCAGGCACATGAACATTCCAACGCGCCCGCCGCCGCCACTTTTTGTTTTCTTATTTGTTTTTTTTTTAGGGCACTGGTGTTGGCTGCGGTGGCTGACCGCACGCTTCTAGGGAGGCTACAACACCGAACATTGGTATTTTTTGCTCGTAAAAATTGTGAGCGTGCGTGATGAAAGTTATCTGCCAGAATCTTTTCCACTGATCAACTATGAATCTTGGATGAACCCCCCCCCCCCCGCCAAACATGGGTTAATCACCACAATACATTCTGAAGCCCCTTCGATCCACCCTATTCAACAATGAGCACGCGACTTACATTTCCCAATCAAAAGGACCTGATCTGAACTGATCGAAAAGAAAAAATGAGTCTGGCTGAATATCGCCAGGAAAACATCAACGTGGCCAACGATCGAATAGCAGGATGGACAAAGGACAATATAGCTGGACAAATGTGGAGCCAGTGATTAACTAATTGGAAGGCAGAGCATCGAAACAATTCATATCGGCAGTGATAGAGATCGAAATGGAAAATAAGCGTACAGTACAACACCGACAGCATAATGCTCAAAATATATAAGGATCGGGGCGTAGGGGGTGGCAAAGCAAAGCCCAGAACTACAGTCACAAAACAAATTTACTTGCATGAGTTGAAAGCAGCAATGGTCAAGGTCACAAAACCGAAAACAAGATCACTCCGCGCACCGAGCATTCTCGGTCAGCACCCAAGGCTTAGTTTCACGGAACATTAGAGACAAGGCGTCAGTGCAGGTTTTTCAATAATTAGTCACACTATCGTCCTCGTCAGTGGGGCTGTTTGCCACACATCGTTCAGCGTGGTTTCTTCTCCGATCATCGTCAGATACTAGTTGGCTCGGAGGAAGACCTCAGGATGTCTAACGAAACCATGTGCTACAGCTCCGGGCCTCGTACCCACAGTCTTGCAAGTTGTACACGGCGGTCCGACCGCTAGCTGACCGTATGCAGCCACGGCCGGTAACTTTAAGTTCATTGGACTCGTCCCTGGGATCTTCGTCTAACTTTTACCACGAATTTGGACCGCAACCATGATGACGTCTTTACTAGGCTTGTTGATGGAGTTGGGAGGCAGCGCCACGCATTCTACTTCATTGATCTTTTGTAACTTGGACACATTCCCCGTAACGGCTTTGAAAACTCGTAGCATGTCGGCACATTCCTGGACCTCACCGACAGTCTGAATCCACCGATCTAGTTCGCCGGAGTATGAGAAGAAAACGCGACGCTCTTGTTCCCTAACTTAGAGAGGACCGAAGCCAACCAAATTTATCGCACCATTGGACCGAAAACCAACATTAAAGCACATGCATCTCAACTTCGAGCCTCACCGCCGTGATCGCGATGGGACAGGTGTCCTTAGGTGTACGCAGGAGAGCGCGGAACAAATAAATACACCTACCGCAGCTACGAAAAGGGGAGGTAAACCACTAAGCTGAGACGTTCTAGAAAAACGGCTCTGGAGACTTTCATGAAACAGAAGCCCGTAGGTTCAGCCAGCACGCAACAGGCTACAAATAAGTCATCTGCTACTGTATAGTCTCGCTCCCGTTCGTTACATGTTTGGACGTGCAAGCCCGTTGAGGGTTATCCTGTCGATATTGTGTCCCCCACTCTCTGTTCTTTTTTAACTAGATAGCGTCGATGCATGTGCACCGATGTTTCGTTATTGAACTTTTACCCATTGCCATGTTGTTCCTGTCTACCGTTATCCGGCTGACGTTGCATGATTCGGCCCGTTTTTTCTTTTGCTGTTTTTTATGACATGCTGCATTCGAGGTCCCTTTACTCCATTAGTAGCCACTCGTTATCTCGCTATATGTATGACATTGCTTGTGCTGAGCAGCATATTCCCAACCACATATCTTAAGGGAGCCCTGAACACATACAGAAAAAGAAACTTGCAATTGGTCTCAGGCGTCTTTTGGCATCACTGGATTCCGACACAGCACGTTTGCACTTCAGCATCATTATCTGCGCTAACCAGATGCATGGACGCATGCGCCCACCATGTGGCAAAAACTTGCAAATGACTTTGCCAATAGACAAACGCAGCCACCTTCGTTCGGAGATACAGACCTCGGACTTAAGGACAGAGCTTTCATGTGCTTTCAGAACATCGCAGATCAGTCACTCCTCTACAACTGTTGTCTCATTCGTACATGTATTTCAAACTCCCCAAATATTTCATGATGATTTGAATGATGATTATTGGAAAGTTTTAACGCATTGTCTGTAGATATCATTTGATATCCCTCAGAGCAAATCATTCCATTAAGTCGGTGGATATTTTTCATACAGAATTAGGGATTCCGTGGGGTTTGTGGGGTACGAGTTCAGGCGTTTTCGAAATTTTGTACTGTGTATTTGATGCAAGTTAACGAACTAGTTAGAGCCTCAAAGGCTCTAAATAGTACCTGGGGAAGGTACCTGTTCTAAAGGGAAAAGGGAAAGTACCTGTTCTAAGAAGAGACCTCCTCAAAGCATTCATTGTAGGGGAAAGACACGCGTCTGCAGTGTGCTGCATTGGCCAATTATACCAATAAAGCAGCAATACGCTTTAATCGGGGAGCCTGCAAGCAAAACAGAATGGATTTTAGTGTTGTCGGGCCCGCTGCCACCAATGCAGAGCGACTTGCACCACAGTCGTGGTAGCAGAAGCTTGACTGCGATAAGATTATCATCTTACGCCATCAGAGGCGTAAACGTAGCCTCGCTGGCGATGGGCCAAACTAACCGTTTGCTGTGTTTGCGTCGAGAGGAGGCGCCATCTGCCTTCTTCTCCACAGCTTCCTCCAACACTTCACAGTGAACAGCCGTCCGTTAGTACAAATCTGGCAGATCACTGGAAGCCGTCGACTCGTGACTCCCTGAAACAGAGACAACTGTAATAGCGGCCACAACGATCACTTGAACTTGGTTCTGGGTCTTTTGACAAAAAATGACAAAGTCAGGTAGCTGCTTGACCTTTTGTTTTTAAACGGCACGGCACTGTTCACGTGACCGTGAGGTGACATTTAGGAAGAGAAAATACTCCGCGACATTTGACGTACTGCTGTACCATCGAGGATGGACGGCTATTCGTGCGTCACAATGCCCATTACTTGTCTCTAATATGTAGTTTTTTTTATTTCCTTTGTATGGGAAGCCATGTCGGCCTGATGTCTGTAACAGCCGCGTTAGTGAGGTTCAAGGAAGACAGTGTCGTGTGTGGCGCCTCCTTGATCTTTCATATTTTCCGATGCGACCCACGGCCGTTGATGGCCACTTTGTGACATGCCGGCCAGTCCATTCACGGACGGTAAGTTTTCACAGCTACAGGGAATGTCATTTATGAAGTTCTTTGTGTTCTTCATAAGGATCAGCAGTCTGATTTTCCTGGGCGCTCGTCTTCGTATTATGCCGCTGTCTTCAACGCTCTTGAGCGTCTTAATAGCTGTCCGCGCTTTTTATTCAAGCTCGCTCATCGCCGCACCGACAGATGAATCTCTCAGCGTGGCCTAGAACAGACTGGATTGATCGCTTGATGTTCGGGCTTAAGGGCGCTTCGGCTGCCTCGGTCATCCTTATGACGTCAAACCATCCGAGTGAGCAGAGATTCTGACGAGAAACATCATTCAGCCCCTCACGTCCCCCGTCGCAGCAACCCTCCGGCTATATAACCAGCACCACTGAGAGCTGGGGGAAACGGCCACGGGCTCGTCGCTGTTGCCGGCGGTTGACATCCACATGCAGTAACAGGAGGGTGTGGCGCTGCAAACAGCGTCAAGCGTGCCAGTACTGTCACTTCACCACGTGACACGCATCGAAGTGGGAGGTGGGAGGACCGAGACCGGATTCCCGGCATCTGTGTACCGTTAGTCAACAGCAACCGTCCGGCAGCTCCACTTCGGTCCTTCTGTCCGGACCTTACCCAGGAAAGCATCGTGAGGGGCCGGCGTCACCGCGCGGGAGACATCGGCGAGAATGCCGCAGCCATGGCAATTGAAATGAACGATATGGCTGAGAAATTTCAAGAAAGGTCTCCGTGAAGGTCTTCATGAAACCAAGAAAGGTCTCCGTGAAGGCCTTCATGAAACCAGGTGCAACTTGTCATCGACGCGGAACAGGTTAATGGCGACGCATCAACAGAACTATCCCTCCCATACAGCACAGACCGAAGAGAGAAGAATGGGAGAGCCTGTGAAGGCTAAAACATCCAATCTGCCTTCAAAGGCTCACTACGGTGAGCGCTCGCTAAACTCCGCGTACCGTTGACTATAGAGAACAAAAAGAACGACGTATGTGACTTCCCGTGCAGTTGTGGCAGATTCAACAAGGAAGAAAAAGGGTCATTGTCGGTCAGAGCAAAGAAAGGCAGACAGGCAACCACCCTGGGCGGGGCTGGAAAGTCTGGCATGACAAAGCATGTTTGGTTGGAGGGAAAACACCGGCTAACACGTCACTAGTCTCACTCATCAATACTCTAGTAATCAGGGCGTAAGTCCATGAACCGAAAGATCATGGATTCAAAGTTTGAGGCCGCCGTGGGCTTTGAAGGCTGCAACACGCACGTGGCTTTGTGCCACACATCATCAAGTCTTTCTCAAGACCAACTGAAGCCTGAAAACCGCTCGAAAAATTGACGGCGAAACGCTATGTAAAGAGCAAGGCTTAGGACGAAAAATAAACGATTAGCATGTGGGCAATGTATTCCGACGCGGCGTGAACAGCACATCTCAAATGATCACGATGTAAGTAAGCATGAATGGTACATCAGTAAATCATCCTCCGTTTGAGACAAACAAAAAGGCTGCAAATCATCCAGGAAAGCATTGCACGTGCGGAAGTGGGAAATTCAGATGACACCTTCCACATTAATGACACGATATATGAACGCTGACCTCGACATCAACCAAACCTTCATAAACTGTTCTAGCCGCCGAGCAGAGCTTGAAGCTGAACAGAGCTCTCACCCTACGAAGTCATTTGCAACGGAATAAAAACGCACCGGATGAAACAAATGATGAAATTAGAAAGAAGAGAAACTTGCATGTCAAGGACCCAGGAAAATGTCCCCTGTTATCTGCATGTTGAGCTATTGTGCGGGTTTATGTTCACTGTTCTTCTGCTTGTAAGCGAAGAGAGCAGCCAGCAAAGTGAGGGCTCTGGATAGCAAGTGCCACAGTGAATCATATGTGTTTATTTAGGTGGAGCTCTCGGAGAACTAGTTACGTGCTGGATTTCTTCGCAGTCACCCCTGCAACATGGCATAAACAATGACATGCTCAGGGCTATCGGATCTGGCATGCCCACTAGTGGTGGTGCTGACATAAATAGGCCCCGGTGCCAAAAGGATTTATGGCGCTCTCTTGATGTTTGTTGAGTCAAATGTATCGTTCCATGAAGACTTCTTCACTTTACGGGGAAATATCATGCGTGTCATGGTAAACACGTTGTGTCTGCGGCTAGTGAGACATCTAAATTGTCTCTGACTTTTTCATATTTTATATCATAGCTTTCGTCTGATTTACCATCAAGCTAATGCTTTGGATTCAGATAGTGGCGTACCTTTGTTAATTTCCTGAACACAAAATGGTTTGTAGATGCAGATATTGCACATAGGTTGTAGGTGTAAATGTCGAATGTATCTGTGGGTTGCAACTGTGACATATTTGAGTGTACGTTGTAAACGTTGTGAATGTACCTGCAGGCTACCAGCGTGATTGATACGACTCGTGTACATGAATGTACGCCAATGAAATCCTATTGATATCAATGTACTAAAGATCCAAGAAACACCAATTTCCCATCAGTACCCATCCCTACACACGGTTCGCACGCATATTCGTGCCAACGTACATGTCCACTTCCGCTGTACTAGGAGAAGCGAACATTTTCGGTTCCATGGACAAACGTCCGAAGACAAGCTGAATTCCACTGTGCTAGTCGCTGCAAAGCGGAGCACGAGCGTAGCACGAGTCCACAGAAGCCCACTCGACCGGAAAATCCCCCGGGCAGGGCTGGTGTCAGCGCCGCCCATTGCCTGCCCGAGGAGGCCCGTGCTGGACCCGCCAGCCCACCTGAGCGTCGTGTGCGTTACGTGAGAGACCTGGGGCATTTGGGAATCGAACGCGAATTGCGGTAGTTTTATGAATCACGTACCTTACGTTGACTGCACTCAGATCGAGAGCATGTCATTGGTCTCGCATTAAAAATGTCAGCCCCAGGAGGCGTCTTTTCGCTAAACGCTGCGTAAATACAATTCATGTATGTAAACAAGCTTTTCTACGCAGCGTTTTTCCAGAATTCTCTAAGCGGGTCATGACATGGATAACTCAAATGCCACGTCGCTTCCAACGGTACCCAGCGCTTATGCATTTTCCTGGATTCTCTAAGCAGGTCATGGCGTCGATAATTCAAATACGAGTCACGGAACGGTGCTGTCCTCGTCTTGATATTGCTGGCATTAAGGTCGGCACTTTATCACAGCGCACTGGCTGTGGCGTCACTGGATCACAGTAGCTAGCAAGTCGTCCAAGAAGCATCAGATCTAGATATGTATCAAGCTAAATACGGCCATGGCACTTTAAATGGATTGAAACATGCATGCTAGCAACATTATTTGTTCTATATTTTTTTTCAAATGTGCGACTACTGCAAGCTTAAAGACAAGTTTAAATCAATTCAGTTGATGCTCGTTGAACGTTAGGAGTTACGTTTGCCAACGCTTTTTGGGATGTAATTACCAAAATATTGACGACTCGCGTTTGTGTTAGTTTGGGATAGGATGTGTATGTGACCGAAGGTCTAGAATGGAATATTGCGGTAACAAAAATACCGTAAATTCTAAACCTTTGTTTGTAAAGGGGTAGTTTCAAGCATGGTAAAGAACCACGGTAGGTATCATTCGTTCTTTCATGCTGATGTTCATGACCCACGTGCTAGGTAAAAGGTCTCTCGCTATGACATGAAGGGATCATTATTTTCAGGGCCCTGAGGCACAGGGATGTTTTTCACCGGGTCAGTTTATTCCGACCAATCACATACGTGTTCTAAAATGTCCCACCAGGTGACAGGGGCTTCTCTATATAAATAGAGACGTGCCAGACATGTACTTCCTGGCACTTTGCCACCCTTCAGGACAGGCTGCACCTTCATGTTCAGTTGAGGGTGGGGGGGCTAAAGGCCCCCACACTTGAGTTTCAATCCCTCAACTTTGAGAGGAAAGTGGGCGAGGTACGGGAACAAACTCGCCTGTTGACCAAATTTAGAAGTGGGTCGTGTCAACTTTTACTGCTTAGCCCCTCTCCATCCGCCCCACCAAAAATTCCTTTCGCGAAAATACGCTGGCGTTTCAGAGCAACATGCTTGCCTTAGCACTCCAATCAGCCAACCCGACAGAGGCTCAGAGGCGGACAGTCGCAGGAATCCCTGGGAGGCCGGCGTTCGAGCAGAGCTCTAATAATTTGGGCCAGAGGTCATGACTGGCAACGCCCATTCAACCTTTGCATGCATGCTAAATCAGAAATAGCCCAGTGCTGGCCGGGTCGGGAGACTTCGTGCCAACAACGCTATGTGCCCTGGGTCAAAGGCGAGTGCTGGGCTTCGTTTAAGCCTAAGCTTGGCAAGCCTAATTTTTTTTTATAAATTTGGTCCGAATCCTTTGAATGGATGGATTTCTGGGATCAGCGCTCACGCTAAGCAGTGCTTGTTGTGTGAGCCCTGACCCCCACCATCCGATCGCGCAGTTCCAGGCAACGGCAGAATCTGGTGGCGAAAGTTTTACGTGCCGCAATGGTCGGCACGGTTCGTCCTGCCCTCTGACGTCAACTGACCTTTAGCGCGACCGCTGCCACCGGCCGCAGGCCACACCTGCCAAGGGCAAATAGCGAGCGCCCTAAAGCGACTGGAACCCATCCCGCCACGGATAGGTGGGTCGGAATGCAGGCGCTCTAACCAACTGAGCCACCGGGACGGACAAATTGGGTCTATCTTTTGAACTCAATGGAAGTGACCCCACATAAGATGTAGTCCGGGTGCAGGGAGGCCCGGCATATCTGGTCTTTACGATCACACTTGAAAAGGAAACAAAACTACCACGTGCTTGCCTGCTATCATTATAAGCCACCAGCAAAAGAACTTCTGTTCGATACCCTTCAAATGCATCCGCACTATCCTGCAGATAAACAGAATCGCCTGATGGTCTGAATGCCCTAGGTCATCAGAAAGCTAGCCAAACCGGCGACGAGCTGAGTAAACCCGTAAATCCAATTTGACCCGAGCGATTTCTTACGCCATCAATTTCGCTTTAAAACGGAGACTGGACGCAGTGGGCAATGCTTCACCGGTCGATGCGCTACCAGGCAGAAGTATGCCAACCTGTAGCTAAATGGCAATTCACGGGCCATCGGAGACCGATCTAAGGCGACTGTGGCAAATGCTGCTTGGTGTGATGTCGATGCCGTCAGTAGTGACCAAACAGCCTGAAAGCAGCTCGGTGCAGAGGCGGGCTGTTGTCCGACATCTCCACCCTTCACCGTGTGCGGCAAATGCGTCACTTCCTAGTTGCGTCACACAACATGAAGGCGACATGCGTTATTAGCGACGCCTCAACAGCGTCGACTGATTTACGGCAATGACTCTTGCTCTTTGGAGGGGCGAGTGAGTGCGAACAAAACTGCCGGCGATTAATCGCGGCTTATTGACCAACTTAGGTTCAACACAGGAGACGGCTGGCTTCCGCCAAATGAGACTGGTAGCACAAGGCCTCACAATGGACATTTTCCACGAGTCTAAAGCGTGCACAAGCTGTATGCGCCACTTTCCGAACGTTGCAAATCACAACTCTGATAGAAGATTTAAATGATACCCGTACCACAATATAATATAATAGCTCGCCTCACTGACTTCCGAACCTTACCAATTTTGTTGAGAAACGAACATAGCACCCACGGTGGGTCCGAATCCAGATATGCCCCGCACGTACTTACAAATATCTCGTGGGTATCTTTGACGTCGGGGCCGCTAGAACCCTGAACAATCACGTCCTCGTTTCAAGCCATGACATCAGTGCTGGGACGCTACACACGTGCCACTACAACGTCATTATCTACCCATCACCCATCAAGACGTGACTAGGAAGGCCCACCCGTTAAACTGATGTTGAACTCGGTGCGAAACGGCGCAGCCTAGCTCAGGCAGTCCGCGACGTGCGCCGTCCCAAGCAAGTGCGCAGCGTGCGCGCCACCCCCTGCCGGCCGCGCGCCCGCCGCGTCCGTGCCAGAGTTAAATGACATACTAACATATGTGCCAGAAACTATTTATCATGGTCAAAATGTGAGTGATAGCCGGACTGCGCTTTTGTCTCATGAACGATGGGGTATTTTGTCGCATTGCATGAGGCGAGGCTGCTCTGCGATAAATAATGCAACTGCTGCGTTTGTGTTAAAATGTGCTGCACCATTGATGTTCTGTGAGAGCCAAGCTCTATGTGTGAGAGAAAATTACATCCGTTTGTAGTTTAAACTAATTTAGCCCTTCGGCAGCGCGCGTTGGAAATAATCAGGTTGATATCTTGGATATCTTTGGTCACATCTATTCAAGATACTTTTATATCATCTTGATATCTTTTTGATATCTTAAGATACGAATAATGAATACATGCATTAGGTCACGATTGAAATCCTTGAAGCTATTATCAGAAGCGCTTAGGACTTTTTGTGTTAATCGATCATGTTGTGTTCATCGATGTCATTTGTTGATACAATACCGAAAAATATATAGTCTGGGGTTGCTCTTAATTGTATCGGAAAGAACGCTGCCAGGGGTTAAAAAGACGTTATTTTTCGTAGAAGGCCTGTGATAGACTTAAGCAAGCAAATGGTAGACACGAGTTTGCACGCCACATGTTTTATCATTCTGCCATGGTGACATGTTGTCCACATGGGGTTGTGAACGATTTCGGAATGCCTCGGAATAGCTTTGTGAATAGGAACAATCCCTACATCAGAATCAGGGATGTTCACATTTGAGCTACGTTGTCCCTAAAGTGCATCCAGTTTTGTCGTGGAAGCTGTCCAGCCGGAAGGCGGATCCATTTAACTCACTATTCAAGGAGTTGAAATAAAAATGGTATGTATACCATATATCTGTATACCATACATACCAATACACCGTATACAAGGTGCGGAGCAGTAGGGTAATGAGCAGGGTAAAAAGCGTGATATACGTGCGCAGCAGGAACACCAAGTTTACCATCTGGTTTGGGAGTAAATGCTACATAATAGCCTTTGCTACAGAGTACGGCATGAACTTGAACAAGGAGCCTGTCAAGTGCCTGTAACACACGATTCTTCGCCGTCCACGTCAGCACAGCGAAACAACATTACCAGCATATGTATGGCGGTGTGACAATGCGCGCCATCCCTGCAAGGGGCCGCGGTCTAGTTCAACCGGCCCGCCGGCTGCGTCGTTCCAAGAGCGGCTGCTGCATGAACGTCATCGCCCGCCGGCGGCGCGCTCGCCGCTTCATTGTCAAGCCTCTCCGCTCGCCGGCAACGCGCTCGCCGTCTCATTGTCAAGTCTCTCCGCTCGTCGGCAGGCCGCTCGCCGCTTCAGTGTCTCACCACTCGTCGGCAGCGCGGTCGCCGCTTCAGTGTCAGGCCTCTCCGCTCACTGGCAACGTGGGCTATACTTGGAGCTTTTGAATAAATTGTGATTAGTTCTGATCAGAGTTCGGCCAGCGCTCGGGGATTACTGAGATGTGCGACAAATTCGTCATTCGAGTGCAAAGGAGGTGCTCGCTGACTATGAATTCATTATTTGCTCATGCATACCATGAATTCACAGCATGGTTTACATGAGTGGCGTAGAAGAAAATCACGCAAGTTGTTCAGTGCATTAGCAAGGAACAGTATTCATGTAGATAAGACAGTAGTATTAGCCTCAATCCTCGGAGAAAAACTAGGAGAGTGGAAATATGGTTGGGTCGATATTTCGACAACATGCCTTTATCGAAACAACAGCTTCTGCTATTGTTCTGATAAAGGCATGCTGCCGAAATATCAACCCAACTATATCTCCATTCTTCTGGTTTTTCCCCCGAGGAATGAGACTAGTGCTACTGTCTTATCTATGCGTAGAAGTAAACCTGAACTAGTGAACTAAGCACCTGCAAACTGTGTAGTGATGCTAACTGATCAACCACCGGCGACAGCTTTATGAAACAATGCGATAGCCCGAATGGCATATTTTCGAGGGTACCAAGACCACTGAGCGTGTTTGCTCATTTCGTGTTTTCGTGAGCTGCTCCGTAGTTTGAACCTGCCATTGACAAAACTGACGAGACACAGATGAGGGAAATGTCTGGCCAATAGCGTATGGCAGATGTGTCAGCAGCCGCTTCCAATTTCATTAAAATTGGCCTGCGGCAACGTTCCGTCATTAAAAATCCTAGTTACGGCAGCTCTAGCACACCTACTTTTCTCAGCGATTTCAAACAGCGTTTGCAGGCATGCCAATGTACAAAGAGATACAAGTCCACCAGTACAAACGACCAACAAGTATGTGCTCGATCAGACCTAGCCTGATCGAGCAATACCATGCCTGGAGTCACTGGTCTCACCCAGCACCGAATGTAAACGCAACATTCGACATGACACGAACGCAACGCGCGCTTCTGACCACTCACCAGGTCATATCCCGTCTCCTGATTCCCGACCCCACCATACACGTGAGTGGCGCGGCGGCACGGACTGCGCGTTGGTGGCAGCGCTCGCGACCCCACCAGTCTATCGCGGCGTCGACGTGGCCAGCCGTCGGCGCTGGCGCGACCCCGCTCCTCCCCGCTGTCCGCGCGACTGAGGCGCACACCGCCGTCCACCACGCCCGTCCCCTCCCCCTCCTCGGTCCCGCCCCCTCACCCGTCGGCGTCACCGCCCGCTGGCGCTGCGGCCGGCCGGCTCGCTAACCCAGCCGATGAGGAGGAGGTGGCGGCCGGACGATTTCGGTTTTGTTGTGGACAATCTTACATGAGACTAGCGTTTTCGGGTCAGTCGGCTAGCCGACCGCGGCCCGGCGGCTAGCCGGCTAGCCCGTGGGGCCATCTGAAGAATGCTTATGACTCATGTGGGTCCCAGAACTGTTTTGGCTTTGGAGTATGGAATGGTGTATGTAGTCCTGAGCTTTCTAAATGTCATCAAACCAATTTAGATGTACTGCCAGATCCTGGGATCAAAGCCAATTACTCATGATCAAATTTCCAAAGCTCAGGCCAGGCAAGTGCGGTAGCCAGCGTGTTTGTTCGGTAGCATAACGCTACCATGTACAATTAATAACTTTTTTTTAAAAAATGGCCTTCAGATACCATGACAGTTCAGCTTCATACCTTAAATAAACGCTCCATTGTTTTTCTGTTGTTTTGTATTACCATTTTTCACCAAACCAGTTACTTTTCCACTTTGCATTTAGCGACTATTCGATAACAACATCGTTTACGTGCACGTTTTTATCACATGCAATTGCCCACGTGTCTCTAAAGACTGCTCTTGAGTTGACATCAGCTGACACTCTACACACAAATACATGGCTATAACGTGGAACTTGCCAGGGAGATAAAACGATTAGCCAAAACAACGAAAAGTGACAGGGATAAAACCATTCAAACACAAGCGTGCGCATTTGGTATGAAACACCCTATTGTGCCAACATTGTCATGGCAGCGCACTTTAAGCTTGTCGGATCCAGTCGTCTCGCCTCCACCGGCGAGTGGTTCAGGGGACAGGTCGCCTGTCGTGCGAAGGGCCGCTATCCTGTTGCCGTGCGCATCGCCGGAGGCGCAGGCTCTGATCCATACGAGTAGCACGTTCACAGGTGCAAGTTATGTTTGAAATAGGCTGACAGGATCCGCAGCCTCGCCTCGTTCAGGGGCTTAATGCGCTGCGACAATAGTTAGCACGTCACACGTTTGGCGGGATGTGGTAACGCGCAGGTCATCCCGCGCGTCACACGTGTCATGCGTCGTCATGCGTTCAGAGGCTGGTGACTGCTTTGGTAGCAGAGGCAACTGCTACCTCCAGAAACCTGGCGTCATTAAGAGCTGGCCCCTGGCTACATACCTGAAATGCAGTGTCTCACGCGCGAGATGACTAGACCCTGCACGCTGGTCAGCAGCACTCCTGGTAGGAAATGTCTCAGGTGGCGAAGACCGATCAGGACGCCGATGCTCTTTTGGACCACGTCACTGACGTGTGGGTCCCAGCTCAGGTGGCTGTCAAATAGCACACTCAATTATTTCTTTCTGTCTAGCTGTCTCGCACGGTTCGCCCATCCACCCGTACACTGACAGAGAAAATCCCGCCGGAGTTCAGTCTGGTGTCAAGGAGAGGGAGTTCGGTTTTGGATGCGTTGAGCGGAAACCGTAGGCGTGGAACCATGATGGGGAGGACATGATGGCTACCATGCGTTGGATGAGGGAAAGAAGATCGCTTTTGGCATTGGATGCGGGGATTTGGTTTGTCAGCGTAACGATTCACACGGGCATCTTGCGCAAAGAAGATTGCTTTTGGCATTGGATGCGAGGATTGGTTTGTCAGCGTAATGATTCACACGGGCATCTTGCGCACGCAGGCTGAGGTCGTTGGTGAAGATTGTGAATAAAAGAGGAATGAGAGCTGAGTCCTGGAAGACTTCCAAGGTAATGGGAAGCGGCTGGGAAGCCTCTGTGCCACTTGAAGGAGGAGAGATACAGACTTGCTAAGAATGATAGCAATGAGGAGAACCACGCCGGGCCAATGTTATAGGGCTGGGGCTTGAAACGAAGTTGAGAATGGAGAATGACGTCAAAACATATAATGATATCTAAGAGACATATGAGTACGAGAGGACCACAATCCATGCTGTAAAAGATGCGGCTGGTCATGTTGAGCGAAGCAGCATCCATGGCGTGGCGGGAACGAAAACCTTGTTGGGGTTAGGACAATAGATAATTACTGGACATATAGTTGAACACCTGACGCAGCACCACACAACCGACAGTCTACAATCTTGGCCATCATAAGGACGACGGAAATGGGGCGGTAGTTAGAGCCCAGGGTTGGATGGCCGGATTTGAGCATATGATGAGCCAGGGAGTGCTTTCAGCAATCGGGAAAATCGTAGAAGATGAGGCAGGTATTAACAATTTGGAGAGGAACAGGTCCAATGAGGCCAAACCAGAGGAGCAGGACACGAATACAAACACCATCACCACACACCCCAAAACGTTTCATAGCGAATATGACCTGGTGCAGTCCGCCGTTTTGAAATGACGCAAAATATTTTTTAACGTTTCGAAAGACTAAACTCAACCCACGATATGGAAGTGGCGCTTGCACGTATCGGTAACAATGGCCGAATGGTTTACGAAGCGAACTTCTTATGGATACAAAATTTACAAGTTTAACCCATGCGCATGCAGTGTGTAATGGCTTCATAAATCCCCCACAACCAGCTAGCCGCTCCTTGCGACTACTCGATCGATTGGCAGCTATCCCAAAAGCCTATTATGAGCTCAAAGTTCCTGTGCTGGCTTAACGATCTGCAATATACCAGAGGGTACTGGTTAAATGACGCTTCAGTGATAAATAACATTGAGACTGATGACCCTGAACATTTTGAGATGTGCTCATCGTTAAGAGTGAAACGGGTTTAGGTCCGTTCAGTAAATTACCATTATTGAAGACATGCGCATACAAAAAAGTCTCCCAGTCTGTACGGACACTGAAACAAAAAACCGGCAAAAAGATGAATCGTGCAAGCTCCCAACACATCGTATACAATTTTACGTTAGAAACTGCAAAAACCACACCGATTGCTAAGCTGAAAGCTTGCAAAGCCACGCACAGCGCATTAGATAAGAGCGCTGCTAACGCGATCATCAACCACGGCTAATGGTCTTATTTAATAGAGTGCTGGACCTTGTAAACTTCCGACTTAACCGTAGGTGTGGTTTTTGCAATCTTTTGTACGCGCGCCCGGGCGGCCGTTTGAATACGGGGCGCTTGGCTTGGGGGTCAGTTCGGCCCCAAGGTCCCAAAACCTTAGAAAGCTAAAAACACCAAACTTACAGCGTGTAATGGCCTATATGTGAACACACTTCACAAAACCCGAGGTGCTTAGCTGACAATCTTTGAGTCAGATGAAGTCATACCAGGTCAAAATACAGATTGGTGTCTTAAGTGCACCCATACATCCTCATGCAACCATTTTGAACCTGGATACCTGTTCTAAACTAAATTTCACTGGTGTCCATTTCAAGTCAGTGACTTGTTTTACTTCAAGAAGGCTGTGACGACAAAAAATCCATGATATTTTTTTATTTACAAATATGAATAAACGCCAAGTATTGCGCTAGGTGGTATTTTCCTACAAACAACAGGTTGACCTGGGCCATTTCAGGTCAGTGACCTCTTTTGTTATTTAATAAATCCAAGGAAGATGTGTGCTGCCGTCCCTGTCATACAAATATGAAATAAGCATAAAACAAACTCACAAGGTAAGTTCTCCAAACAAAAAGCAGCTTGGTTTTTACCTCGACCTAACGTTCGTCCAAGGTCAATGTAAGCTGCGTTAATCCTAAATGCAATCGTCTTCTTGTCTTAGAAATTATCCCATAGATGCATGACCCCGTTTAATACTCCGTTGTCATATCAGATTGCACGGTTCCCTAGGAAGTGCCTTCGCTGACAGTCATGGGCTACTTGGACTTGCCATTGATCGGCGGCATCAAGAGATGTGTCTTATTTTTATACCAGAGGACGCACTGTTGAATTACCTACAGCTAGACAAAGTTTGGCAAGCTATGTCGCGCTGTTAGGAAGTCATTTTGTAAAACCTTCGGGGTCAAATTAACCCCTTTTTACCCGAGCGCCTGTTAGCGTTGAACTATACACGGAGTGTTGAGAGCCCGGATGATTCATCTTTTTTGGCATATTTTAGTTGCACTTTCTGCACAGACTGAGAGCATTTTCTGTATTCACGTGTCTGATTTTTAAAGCGTTATATCTTATTGAGCTTTTCTGAAACCTTCCATTCTTGAGAATCACCTCATCTCGAATTATTGAGTGCCGTCCGTACCCCCAATATGACTATTTAGCAGTACAACGTCGCTGAACCAACATCTCCTGGTATATTGAAGCTCATTTACTCAGCGAAAGAACCAAGCACATGAAAGCCTTTTTTATATCACGGCAACCAACTTTGTTGTTGGCGTGGCTTCCTAGCCTGTAATAGAAGCAGAAATGATTTGGGTTCAACTTTTGACTGTCCTCTTTAACGACGGCAAAGTGACACCCTGCGCAACCACATGGTTTGAGCGATAGGCACTTAGTTCAAGACGCTGAGACCGAGCGGGTGATAAACTTCAGTTGTTACATGGTCTAAGTTACTGCATTTACGCATGAAAGGATTTGATCTCCCGGTTTTTCGGCATGTGAGTTGATAATTTTCATGCTGAAAATAACCGTCTTCAATATGCAATGAGTCACTGGTTTAACAATGTTAGCAAGCAACCATTAGTAATATTGATACAACTTGACGCATCGAAACTGTGCTCATGGTAACAAAGAAACAAGGTTGGGGAAAATTACATTTAAAGGCTGAGGCACGAGACTTATTTAGAAAAGCGCAAATCTGTACAGACACTGTCACGACAAGCATGCCAAAGCACTTTGAGTTCCCATGTCCTGTCCCCCGATGCATGGCACTTCCCTGAGGCCTGCACCCAACACGGGTGGCTAAGCCGGAAGGTCACGATGCCTACACCGAGTGCAAGATTAGAAAATTACTTACCACCAACATCAGGCA